TCGAGTACCAGCGGTCTGGTACATCATGGTCTTTCACACACACCTCCTTGATTTTTGGAGCTGTTTTTCACGGAATATCTGTATGCATTGATTGTGGATCAAAGCAGTTTATATGCACAACAATTTATCGCCGCCAACCCAAATTCAAACCTTGCCAGACCATTCGCATGGAAACTCATTACGGTTTTCAAATTTACATTTTTTTGGGGCCTAACCCTCAACATGGGCATTACTAAAAGAAATGAATTGTGGTTGTATTGGTCCGCAGACCCGATTCATCATATGCCGTGTTCTCTACTGCCATGGCCAGGCATAGATATGAGAGTATAATGTGTTTTATGCATTTCAGCGACAATACACTCTGTCATCCTCGGGGTAACCCTGAATTTGACCGCCTACACAAAATTCAGCCCCTCGCAAATCACCTTAACCTAAAATTTGCAGATGTCTATACTCCCCAGCAAAACATCTGCGTTGAGGAGTCGCTTATTAATTTTTCTGGCCGCCTTGCATTCAAACCATTTCTCCCCTGCAAGCGTGCCAGAAATGGGGTCAAGATGTAGAAGACCTGTGAGAGGACAACAGGCTATACTTATAAGTTTCGGATTTACGAGGGAAAAGATAGTCACGTGGAGCCCGCCCGGATGCCCAGACTACATGGGGAGCAGTGGCAAGATAGTTTGGGACTTGGTGTCATCATTTCTCCATACGGGTACCACTTATACGTGGACAATTTTTATTCAAGCGTGCCACTATTTAGACATTTATTCAATCTTGGAACTGGCACTTGTGACAAAGTGTGACCTAATGTGTGCCCACCATTAGAAGTGGGTGGATGCAGGGCGGTATATTCTAATGGTGGGCATACCACACACTTTTTCTGGCAGAGATTTCTTCTCATTTTTTCATTTAGTCCACTGGCTGCATACAAAAAAAAAGAAAAAGAACAGCATATATAACCAACAAGGACCAGCGATGTACTGGTACATCACTGGATTTGAATGGTTATACCAGGATGATGCCTACAGCTGCAGGCATCATCCAGGTGTTGTTTTTTTCAGCCGGTGATCAGCTTTCATGTAAAAGCAATCCTAGTGGCTAATTAGCTGCAAAATTGCTTTTACAAGCAGTAAGAGATGATGTCCCCCCTCCCCCCGCTGCCTTCCACGGCCTTCTCAGGCAGTTCTGTGCCGTCAGGGTAACCTGAGAATGCAGCTGGTGCTTCTGCTAGCTGACCATAGAGCTGATTGGAGACCAGAATGGTGCCAATCATCTCTATAGTCTAAGAATTCGGAAGCTACAAGCATTTCATCACTTCAGTTTCGTAGGATATAAACAGCGCCATTTGTAAATTGGGAAAGCATCTGATCACACCGATTTTGGTTTGATTAGATAATGTAAGGGCAGAGGAGATATTTAGAATCTGATAGACCCCAGATTTCTGAAAAAAGAATATATGACAATGCCCATTGAAGTTATAGGGGTTATTTGCATTCCCTGTTATAGCATTAAAAGTGATAAAAAAAAAAAAAAAAAAAATGAAAGGTACAATGTAAAAATAAGTTTAAAAAAATCAAAATAACTAAAAAAAAAAAAAAAACAATTGCCCCTCCCATACACGCACACATGTGTGCACAAGCCTTGACCCTGTGCCATTATGTAAACAGCGGTTGCACCATGCATGTGAGGTATTGCCGTGAATGTCAGATCAAGGGCAGTAATTCTAACACTAGACCTCCTCTGTAAATCTAACATGGTGGCTTTTAAAGCGCTGCCTATGGATATTAAAAAATGTTTGCAGTTTGTTGCCATTGAATGGGGCATGCGTAGTTTTAACGCATGTCATGTTTGGTATCTATTTACTCGGCATACCATTATCTTTTATATTTTACCAAACAATTGGCCAATATATTGTGTTTTTGTGCATTAAAAGTAAAAAAAGTATTTTTTTTTTTTTTTTAAATTGCTTTTGAAAAATCGCTGCGCGAGTACTATGTGCCATAAAACATTGTAGTACCCACCATTTTATTGGGTGTCTGCTTAAAAAAATATATAATGTTTGCGGGTTTAAATTAATTTCCTAGCAAAAAATACTGATTTTTTTCATGTGAACAAAAAGGCTTGGTCTTCAGGTGGTTAGAAAAGTGAATGATGTGTGGCATAAACTTCTAATGCTGGGCATAAAACGCCCCCACCCCCCAAAATGACCCCTTTTTGGAAAAAAAAATTAAAACCCAAACTATTTGCTGAGAGGAATGTTGAGTCAATAGAAGAATTTATTTTTTTACCACAAGTTTTTGGAAAATGACAAAAATAAATATATATTTTTTTTTTTACACAAAATTGTCACTTAAATGATTTACTGCTCACACATGCCATGGTTATATGTGGAATGACTCCCCAAAATACATTTTGCTACTTCTCCTGAGTATGGGGGTACCACATGTGAGAGACTTTTTGGCAGTCTAGCCAAGTACAGGACCCCAAAATCCAATAAGCACCTTCAGGCTTTTAAAGGGCTTTATTTCCTCATTTACACTTCCAGACTACCTATCACAGTTTCGGAGGCCATGAAATGCCAGTATAGCACCTAACCCCCCCAAATTACCCCTTTTTGGAAAGTAGACGCCCCAAGGAATTTGATAAGGATTTGGTAAGTATTTTGCAGATCTCATTTGTTGCCACAAGTTTTTGGAAAATGAAGAAAAAAAACAAAAACATATTTTTTCTATATTTCAAAACCTTGTGAGAAAAAATGAGATCTGCAAAATACTCACCATGCCTCTTTTTAAATTCCTTGGGGTGTCTACTTTCCAGAAAGGGGTCATGTGGGGGGGGGGGTTTGGGCTATCCTGGCATGTCAGGGCCTTAGAAACTGTGATAGGTAGTGAGGAAGTGTAATGAGGAAGTTACGCACCTTCAGGCTTTCAAAGTGGTCATTGGATTTCAGGCTCCTGTATGTGGCTAGGCTCCCAAAACGTCTCACACATGTGGTATCCCCATACTCAGTAGAAGTAGCAAAATGTATTTTGGGGTGTAATTCCACATATACTCATGGCTTGTGCGAGAAATAAATCATTTTAAATGACAACTTCGTGTCCAAAAAAAAAAAAGGTTTATGTCATTTTCCAGAAAATTGTGGAAAAAAAAAAAAATCTTCCATGGACTCAATATGCCTCTCAGCAGATAGCTTAGGGTGTCTAAATTCCGAAAAGGGGTCATTTGAGGGTGTTTGTACTATTCTGGTATTTTAGCACCTCAAGAAATATGATGGGCAGTCAGAAAGTAAAAGCTATGTAAATTCCATTATCTATACCATAGTTTGTAGATGCTATAACTTTCACAAAAAGCAATCAATATACACTTATTGGGATTTTTTAACCAAAAACATGTAGCAGAATACATTTTGGCCTAAATTTATGATGAAATTTTAGTTGTTTTAGACATTTTTTTTATGACCAAAATGAGAAAATATTGTTTTTTAAAAAAAAAAAATTATTTTTCTTCAATAATTTTTCTGGTTATAGCGCCAAAAATTAAAAAGTGTACAGGTGATCAAATACCACCAAAAGAATACTCTATTTGTGTTAAAAAAAGGACATAAATTTCATTTATGTACCGTATTGCACGACCATGCAATTGTCCGTTAAACTAGCGCAGCGCTGTATAGCAAAAAAATGTCGTCAATTGCAGTATCTATACCATAGTTTGTAGACGCTATAACTTTCACACAAAGCAATCAATATACACTTATTGGGATTTTTTTACCAAAAACATGTAGCAGTATACATTTTGGCCTAAATTTATAACTAACTTTGAGTTTACTATATATTTTTTATAGCTGAAAGTAAAAAATATCATTTTGCTTCAACATATTTGGTCTTTTTTTGTTTATAGCGTGAAAAATAAAAAGGTGATCAAATACCACCAAAAGAAAGCTCTATTTGTGTGAAAAAAAAGGATGTAAATTTAGTTTAGGTGCACCATTGCATGACCGTGCAATTATCAGTTGAATTAGTGCAGCGCGCCGAGGCAAAAAGAGGCCTGGTCATTATGGGGGGTAAATCCTCAGGAGCTCAAGTGGTTAACAGAGGGGACAAAAAAGGCACATGGGTAGTCTATGACAACCGTGACATTGAGAATCCCAGCTACCACATAGAAATCGTTCTTAAGCTGATTCCACTCCTGACATGTGTTAGGCAGGTATATATATTTTGGGGGAAATTTTCCTGAAACCCTGCAGGGCCTTAGCAAGCAAACACGAGAACGATGGCTGGAATACCCCCACCACCTCTCCCACTACCATCTGATAGAATGCCTTGCCCGGAAAGTGCAGGGCAGCCAGCAACTTGGCTATGGATGGTATGGCATGACTATGCAGTGTGGCAGACTACAGAAAATGATACAATTCCACAAAGAGAGGCATAATCAGGTCCTTAGAAAAAATTTAGAGTGCACTTCTGCTTCAGGGAAATCAAGGTACACTGCTTAGAAGAATGTGGACACAAGATAACCACCCTTCTTCTTTTTCCTGGCCCTCCTTAGAATGGCCTGAAACTCCCACGAATTTGTCTTAAAAATTGCCATTAGGGATGTAGGGGATAACAATGCAAAGTACAGCTAGCAAATGAGGGGAGATTAGCCAAATGCTCATTAGATTGTGAATTGTTGCCCTTTTTTTAAATGTTTCCATGCCCTTCCAATTCTGGTGTGATGACCATTGTCATCACTTCCATCATTATCGCATACCTGAATCACTATTTATTTACTGCAGGCATTTATTTAATTATGTCCATCTGTGAATTTAGTTTAACTCCTTTTTAATGTGGTATTTAACAAGCCTTTTTTAGTGTTTAACCTCCTCCCCCCCCGCCATATAAGGTATTGCAAGGCAAGGCGGCGCAAGGTGATTCTCTCGTTCTGGGAGGACGTCATATAACGTCCTCCCATTCTAACTGCGCATACGCGGCTCCGGGAGCACGCAGTGCTGCGATCGGTGGTGTGCTGTGTCCCTCGGACACAGCGGATCACCGATCAATGGAAAGAGCCGAGAATGTCGGCTCGGTCATGTGATCAGATGTATCCAATCACAGCTGATCACATGTAAATAGGGAAATGCCGGTTATTGGCATTTCTCTCCTCACGAGCTGTCCTCAGAGGGGACATCTACACTGATCATCGGGGCACTGATGATCAGTGTGCCCTGATGATCAGTGTTTCCGCAGCAGTGCCACCTGTCAGTGTCCATCAGTGCCAGCTGTCAGTGTCCATCAGTGCCAGCTGTCAGTGCTCATCCATGCCACCTGCCAGTGCCCATCAGTGCCACATCAATGCCACATATCAGTGCCTACCAGTGCACATCAATGCCACATATCAGTGTCCATCTGAGCTGCCTTTCAGTGTCACCTATCAATGCCAGTCAGTGCTGCCAATCAGTGCCAGTCAGTGTCGCCTATCAGTGCCAGTCAGTGCCGCCTATCAGTGCCAGTCAGTGCCGCCTATCAGTGCCACCAGTCAGTGCCATATGAGTGCTGCCTTTCAGTGCCCATCAGTGATGCCTATCAATGCCCATCAGTGCCACCTACCAATGCTTCCTCATCAGTGCCACCTATCAGTGTCCATCAGTGCCCATCACTGCAGCCACATTAGCGCACATCAGTGAAGAAGAAAAATCACTTATTTACAACATTTTATAACAAAAGCTAAGAAAAAAAATGTTTTTTCAAAATTTTCAGTGTTTTGTGGTTAGTTTAGCAAAAAATAAAAAACCCAGAGTTGATTAAATACCACCAAAAGAAAGCTCTATCTGTTTAAAAAAAGATAAAAATTTCATATGGGTACAGTGTTGCATGACCGTGCAATTGTCATTCAAAGTGTGGTATAAGTGCCCTGTAGGCAAGTGGTTAATGGTGACTACCACAAAACGGTATAGTGAATTGACAGTTTCAGGATTGCATGTGATGTTTAGGCAAAATGTGTCTGAACACCTAAATACCGCATGTGACATGCTTTTGTGAATGGGAGCCGAATATGACAGATGTTGGTACACTGGGACACTGTGACAGATGTTGATGGTGCACTGTGACACTGATAGATGCTGATGGTCAACTGCTGACACCGACAGATGTTATTGGTCCACTAGGGGCACCAACAGATGTTGAAATAGGACACTATTGCAAATGTTGTTGTGCACTGGGACACTGTGATAGATGTTGATGGAACTCAGGTACACTGTGACAGATGTGAAAGGGACATTGGTACATTGTTGAGGGAAGTGACTTTTTTTTTTTCTCAGCAACTATATTCTCATTTTTGTTCAGTACTCATGTTTTTGTGTAATTATTTTGACACTCTCATTACTATTGACTGTTTGGTTTTTATTTTGACCCCATGGAGGGGGTATTGTATCGATATCAGATTGATATGAAAATAATCTTGTTCTTTCTAGCCTTGATGAAGGGGCACTTAGACCCTCAATATGTGTTCGATACTTTTTTGAATTGTACTCCAGACCTTTCGTAGAATAAAGTTGTATCTGGACTTATTAGCAATGGCTTGGCGCTTCAACTTCAACTTTTTTTTACATCACTGGTATACTGTGACAGATGTTGGTGCACTGGTACACTGACAGATTTTGATGGTTCACTGGGACACTGACAGATGCTGATTGTGCACTAAGACACTATAACAGATGTTTATGGTCCAATGACACACTATGGTAGATGTTGGTGCACTAGGACACAGACAGATGTTGACAGTCCACTACAGACACCAACAGATGTTGGTGGTTTACTACAGACATCGACAGATGGTGATGTTGCAATGGGACTCTATTGCAGATGTTGTGCACTGTGGCGCTGACAGATGCTTATGGGACACTGATACACTATGACAGATGTTGATGGGACACTGATGCATTGTGACAGATATTGCTGTTCACTGGCACATGGTGACAGATGTGGATGGGACACTGTGACAGATGTTGATGTGCACTGGGGACAGATTTGGATACTAGCTGGGTGATCTATGTGAAAGCAATGTAAAATGTTTCAAAGGTCACTGATCTTGGCTGGCAGGCACAAATCAGCTCTTTCTCACTGTCTGAGGAGAAGCAGAGCAGATCAACTTACAGGATGGTCTGTTTACATTACATGATGGCTGTAATTGGACACGGCCATCATGTGATCAGAAGGGCCAATCACAGAGCACATGCCGATCAGTGATGCAAGGGACTCAGGCATTACCGGAGCTTGCAGCTGCCTGGCCCTGCAGCCATGTGCACTCCCAGAGACAGAGAGGATATACAGGCACATCCTCTCAGAATGGTGCTTGTCCTACCCTGCCATTTATGTGCAGTGGCTGGGTGGGAAATGGTTAAAATGGTACTGTGTATTACGAGTTCTCCAAGGGTATGCAAACCTTTGAGCACAACTGTAAATCTTGTATAATAATAATTTGTACATGGACAACTTCTATACAAATGTGCCACTTTTTGACACTTATTCAATCTTGGAATTGGCTGCTGTGGCACTGTGGGATCTAATTGCCTGGGCTCCCCCCAAAGGCTCTTTAACACCTGACTTAGAAAGGTGGAGAAAGCCTGCTTGTGGAATGGTGAATTATTTACAGTGAAATGGAAAGATAAAAGGGATGTTTTCGTCCTGTCTTCCATTCACGGAAATACGTCAGTCCAAATTTGCACAGCATCTGGTGTTGTTGATAAGCCTCTCTGCCCACAAATATAATCTTAATATAAGAGGTGTAGACTTCAATGACCAAATGATGAAGCCCTATTTAGTTTCCCGCAGAGTTCGACACTGGTACAAAAAGGTGTCTATTTATTTAAATTAAACAAAAGTGAACGAGCGCACCTTAATGTAACTTGATGCAGGTTAGACAGAAAAGATTTGATAATGCAGAAGTACATACAAACTGAGCGTTGTATATAAATAATCCGTGAAGACATCAGGGTCTGGTCACTGGAATGGCGTCATCTAGGGCTGCAGCAGACTCCCAGGAATGGTGTCTCTCACACTTGGGGGCCATCACAGGCTCACCAGAGGGTCCAACGCCGTCCAGACTCCTGGAACCTCTCCACCTTAGTTGGCTCGAAACATAACGAGCCAATCTTTGAACGTGGTGGCTGCATTATTTTCCGTTTTTTAGGCCTTTGGTCCCCTGTTTTCACCTGATGATCCAGTTAGTAACACTTCCTATCTTAGGGTGGCTACAATCACTCCTCCACTCTATTTATGGATAAGCAATTCAGCCACGCTTGGGCAGCAGCAGTGTCAACCTTGATTACAAGTAAATCGATCACCCTTTGGTCTGTGACAAGTGCATTCTTCTGAAACAGCTCTCTCACCTTGTCCCGTCCTTGCTTCACACTGATGTCCAGCTGATAAACATGTACTGAAAGACAAAAAAAACAAGCGCTAGGTGTCAAAGGAAGGGATGGCTAGCAGCTGACATAGGAAGTAAACCTCTAAAACTTCAAGTGGTACATAAACAATATAAATATGGCAGCGCTATAAGAGTAGACCTAAATGAGTAGATAACAAATAGGATATGATATGCTGAGAAACTTCTAGGTTATCATAACATATTAGCGTGACTTCTGTGATGTATCGGCATCTGGAAGTTTCTCAGCATATCATATCCTATTTGTTATCTACTCATTTATGTCTACTCTTATAGCGCTGCATATTTATATCGTTTATGTACCACTTGAAGTTTTAGAGGTTTACTTCCTATGTCAGCTGCTAGCCATCCCTTCCTTTATTGACACCTAGCGCTTGGTTTTTTTGTCTTTCATCCCTCCGTATACCTCAGTTTACTAGCAGCAAGGTGTAGATTTATCGTCCCATTTAAAATGGACATTTTTGAATATAGGTCTAAAAGATCTATCATCACAGAGGATGTTTTTACACACACGATAAAGTATCTAATGATTTACACGGCCTTTTTGTACATCTGTCCAATCATACCACTTCCGAAATTTGCACATTATGGGACATTTCTTTTATAGAAAAATATCTAAATGAAGGAATGGTTCCCAGATCACTAAGATGGGACATTCCACCAGAAGTGGGTGACGTTAACAGTGAATCAGAATGGTACATATTCTTTAATACCAAAGGCCTTGAATTATTAAAATTTCTGATATCAAGGAAAAAAAAGAAATTGGTACATTTAGATACAGAAATTAATAAGACTAAAGAGCTATTGGTTCCTTACATGGATAAAGAGGATTATAAAGCTGAATCCGAGAAACTGAAAAGCTTACTTGATAAGACTGAAAGAGAACAAAAAATTAAGAAAAAGAAAAAATACACCAGAGACTATTATGACTACAAAGAAAAGTCAGTTTTTAAATGGGAAGGTGCAAACTATGATTTTGTAGCCTCGGATGATCCTAGGGTCACACATCCATCCTCCCATCAGCATTCCTCTAAAGATCCTAAATCCAAGAGAGTACCTATGCCTCCACATACACCTACCTCTAGACAGAGGAACCATTCGGGTTTCTCTCCTGGGCTGACTACTCCCAGACCGGGTTACAACATTCCTACGTCTAACAGATTTGCCCCACTTATGAATTACCATCATACCCCTCGCAACGATAACAAGTACCCTGGGACCCGTCCTCGCCCTGATCATAGGCGGCGATCTTATACAAGGTCTCCCACTAGACCTCATATTTACCCACAAAGGGCGAGGTTCCATTCCCCATTACCTGGTAATTATCAACAATATGGAAATAATAGGATGGCTAACAACCATTACCATGATGACTATAATCGTGAATATTATCACCAATCTGATAGACCTTATAATAGAACACCATCTAGGAATCAGAATTATCATTCACAAAGTAGACCTTATCACAATGGACCATATAATCCTCGAAACCAACAACCTCGTCATTCCCCTCGCTTATATCCCCAATATAATGGCTCCAATCGAGGAGCTCCTGCCAACACGCACCACTCTAAGCAGTATCACAATGAACATGACCATTTTTTAGAGCAAGGCCCGGGACGAAAAAGAAGTTTACGAGAAGAGGAAAATGAGGAGGAGCGAGGGTTAATAGACAAAAAGACGGATGTAATTGAATCCGGGATTTTTAACCTTAGCAACCAAACAATCACCAAAAATGAATTACTTCTTTTAAATAAAGGGCTAAAATTTGCTCCTTCTACTAAATTGAATAAATTTGGCACCTTTATAGATGTGCATAAATTCGCAAGAAAGTTGTCATTAAAAAGACATTTTTATTAACACCCACTTCCTCTGTAGTATGCAAAACATCCAATCTTAAGAATGCATCTCTTTTTAATCCACTGGCTCATTCCCAAATTAATATCTTTAAGAATATGGTTCTGAAAGATCTTGAAAAAACAAGGATCAAAAAATACCATGACCAGCGACATATCG